AGGAGGATGAGGAGGACGAGAACGAGGAGAAGACACATAGCTGGAGGAGGACGTACTGGAAGCCGCAGCAGCAGCACCAGGAGCGGCAGCGACGACAGTCAGTGGCTGCAGTTGCGGCAGTCAGCAGCCGCCGCAGGGACGGGGTCGGCATCGAACGGCCAGGAGGGCAGGGGGGGGGGTGTTCTCACCCAGGCCGGGACCCCTCGGGATGGCGCAGGGGGCCGTTAGAGCAACGGAGGACGGCAGGGCAGCGACGGAGGAGGAGTAAGCAATACGGTTTGATGAGGGGGGGGAGGGAGGAGGAGAAGGAGGAGGAGCAGAAGCAGGAGAAGGAGGAGGAGGAGGAGGAGGAGGAGGAGGAGGAGGGGGACCAGAGCAAATCCAAGACTCATCAACGATGTTTGTATACACCCTCCATCCAAGCTCCCTCTGCAGAGTCCCCTACAAGGATTCATTTCCACGGAGGGAAGTGCCCTGTTGGGGGACAACCGTGTGAGAATCCGGAAGCGCACCACAACACCATTCTCAGGACTTCAACTCCACGAGCTGAGCAGACTGTTGCGACTTGACGCTCCTGAATCGTGCCAGACACCATGCCGGGAACTTCAACACCGCGAACCAGCTTAACTGATGCGCCCTGACGTTCATGAATCGTTTCCAAACATTATCTATTGTACGTTAACCTGGATGGCCAGTGAAACTCTTACAAAGGGTTAGAACGAACATGTGTGGCACTCAGGCGAGAGCCACATTTGAAAAGGAACCGCCCTCGATCCGTGAAGCTCTTGCACATGTTTAAGGACGAATGTGCGAGGCGCCGAGATGAGGGCCAAAATTCGAAAAGGAACCACTCCCAATCCGTGGAGCTCTTGCAAGGGTTGAAAAGCGAATGTGCGCGGCGCTAAGTCGAGAGCCACATGTTGAACACCATGTGTCCTCAACCGTTGAACTCTTGCAGATGCTTCAAGAAGATATGTTCGGCGCCAGAGCCACATTCTCGAAGCGACCCGCCCTCCATGTGTGAAACTGCCGTCAGGTTTTAAGCCTGAGGCTCATGAATGGTAAGGAAGCCTCACGCGAAACGCGCGGCCAGCCCTTCCGACAGGCCTCGGTGTGCGACAGGGCGGAACTAGTCGAAAGGAAAAATAATTGAATAGGAGGATGAATTCAGAAGAGGAGGATAAGGAATTCATAGGAGGACGAGGAGGAGGAGGGCGAATAAAGAGACGAGGGGGACCAGGATTCAGAGCAGCAGTGCAAGGATGAGGTTCAGGATGAGGAGGAGGACGGTAGCAATTTCTTGGGATGAGGTCGATGCCGCGGTGATGCCACGAGTTGTCTCCTCGACCCTGGTTCCCCCCCAAGGATGCAATTTCGTTTCTTTCCGCCCAGGCGGGTGATCCACAGCCCTCGCGGCCCTCCAGCGCTTAGCGAGACGGAGAAGGAGATGGAGGAGGAGGAGGAGATTGCGGAGGATGAGGCCTTGTCAACCTTCCCCCGCCTCCTTAGGGGAGGGGAGGGCGAGGAAGAGGAGCAGGAACTAGGTAGAAGGGCAGGGCAGAGGCGGAGAAGGTCTTTCTCGTCGCGATCACTCGCCGGTCAGTGTTGGCGGTGTTCGGTCCGGCGCAGAGAGCACGTGCCAAGCTTTGGTCCCCCAACAGGGCCACGAGAAAGCCGATCTGGGCCTTCCACCGTCCCCTCCTCGTCCTGCTGCTCCTCCTCCTCCTCCTCCTCCTCCTCCTCCTCCTCCTTCTCCTCTCCCTCCTCCTCTCCCTCCTCCTCCTCCTCCTCCTTCTTCTCCTCCTCATCCTCCTCCTCCTGTTCCTGCTCCTCCCACTCTTCTTTCCCCGGCTTCTCCTCCCTGGGGTCTCTCAGCGCCACCAGCGACCACTCGCCATCCTGCCTGGCGCGTGAGCTGCTGTTGACCAGCCTCCTGGTCACGCCATCTGTAACCTCCTTAGCCGCGAGCGCTCAAAAAGACAAGCAGGAGGAGGAGGAGGAGGAGAAGCAGCAGCAGCAACAGTAGGAGGATGAGGAGGGAGATGAGGGGCAGGATGATGAGGAGGGAGAGGAGACGGAGGACGAAGGAGGAGGAGGAGGAGGAGGAGGACGAGGAGAAGGAGGAGCAACACGAGGACGATACGCAGTCCCTGGGTCTTCGCGGCGCCATCTTCCGCCGCCGCTCAGGAGCGGCTTGCCTGGAAACTACTCTGGCGATGATCCTTCCAGCGGCGTCTCCTCGTTATTTCGTGGTTGTCTCTTCTTCTCCTCCGCACTGTCCTCATGCCCCCCCGTTGCGCGATGAGCCATTTTGGGAGTATGGCTTGGGTCCATCTGGGGTCCTCATTGGGATTCCTTGGGTCATCTCGGCGTTTTCTGGGCACCTCATGGATGCCTCCTTGTCTTGGTCAGTCCTGTAGCGTCCTGAGCGGCTTCTTGGTTGTCCTGCGTCATGGAGGACACTGAAAGAGGTGTGGGGGTGGGGCAGTCTCCTACCAGTATAAGTCCACCATGCGAGCGATGGTCAGCATTGCGATCTGGACCAGCCAGGCCGCCGCTGATGCTGGTTTTGACGTTCCCATTGATTGTGCTGTCTGTGGTGAGCATGTAGAGACTCTGTGGCAGCGCTTCTGGGAGTGCAAGGCTGCGACCACCTCAGGACTCAGTTGGGTCCCGATGATGTCTTGGCGCTGGCTCTCCGCACCAGTGCTGAGGACTGAGAACACTTCACCTGTTCACCCATAGTGCCTTCCGTCATCCAGGGGATCAACTTCCGAATCCAGCGTCGGATGAAGTTGTTCATGTGGATTGTTTCGTGGATCTCGCCACCGCGCCTGGGTCTACCGACCCCATTCCTACTCATCCTGACCTCGGGCTCTGGGGGCAAGCGTTCATGAACGGTAGTTGTTTCAAGCATTCTGTGGTTGAGCTTTCTCGGTCTGGTTGGTGTCTGGCCGTGCTTGACGAAGGTGGCCGACCTTTGTGCGAAGCAGCCGTCCCCGTGTGGGGCCCCTGGATACAGAAGCCCCAGGCGGCCAGATTTGGGGCTGTCGGGGGGCTCCACTTTCCCTTCGAAGCCAGAGCCTCTTGCATCAGCGGATGCAAGACCGTTGTGGATTTGCTTCCCCAGGGCCCTGGCAGGTTCCTGTCTCCTCAACTCCAGTATCCAGTTCTCTTGATCTATGGAGTTGCTGGGCTGGAACCTAGTGGCATCGTCTGGAGAAGCTGTGAAGGGGTCGTGTGCTGACGGGATCCACCCTTCCTCCCCCAGTTCAATGGGGGGGGTGGTTTTCGGACCCCCCCCCGTTTGCGCAAGTGAGGGCGGGGGATTCCGGATCCCCCCGCCTTGTCAAAGTTGGGGGGTCGGCCCCCCCCCCCCCCTTGCGCCGGACAGAGGGGCGGGAGACGTGCCTCCCGCTCCCCTGTGATGCGCCAGGTATAGTGGGGTCGTGATTAGGGTGGGGTGGCTGGGGTGGGAGTGTTAGGGCTAGGGTGTTAGGTTCAGGGCATCAGGGTGAGGGTGTGAGGGTTAGGGTCAGGGGTTTAGGGTTAGGGTGGTAGGGTCAGGGTTAGGGTTTTCAGGTTAGGGTTAGGATTCGGGGGTCAGTGTTAGGGTGGTAGGGCTAGGATTAGAGTTAGGGGGTTAGGGTCAGGGTTAGGGTGGTTGGGATGGGATGAGAGTGTTAGCGTTAGGGTGTTAGGATTGGGGCGTTAGGGTTAGGGTGTTCGGGTTAGGCTTAGGGTGTTTGGGTTAGGGTGTTAGGGTTAGGGTAATAGGGTTGCGGTTAGGGTGTTCAGGTTAGGGTTAGGGTTAGGGGGTTAGGGTTAGGGTAGAAAAGTTAGGGTTAGGTTAGAAAAGTTAAGAGTAGGGTTAGGGGTAAGGTGTCAGGGTTTGGCCAGGGGGTTAGGGTTAAGGTGGTAGAGTTAGGGAGGTAGGGTTAGGGAGGGGTCGGGAGGTTTTGGTTAGGGTATTAGGGTTAGGGTAAGGGGGTTAGGGTTAGGGGGCTCGGATTAGGTTGTTCGGCTTTCGGATCAGGTTCGGGGGCTTAGGGTTTGGGTGGTAGGTTCAGGTCAGGGTGATAGGGACGTCAGGGTTAGTGTCAGGGTGGTAGGGTTAGGTTTAGGGTGTTAGGGTTAGGGTTAGGTGGTTAAGGCAGTAGGGTTCGGGTGGTACGTTTGGGGGGTCAGGGTTAGGGTTCGGGTTAATGGCTTAGTGGATTAGGGTTAGGGGTTAATGGGTTAGGGGTTAGTGGGTTAGGGCTAGTGGGCTAGGGTTAGGATTAACGGTTTAGGGTTAGGGTGGCATGGTTAGGTTCGGTTCGGGTTATGGGTTAGGTTTAGGGTGGTAAGACTATGGTTAGGGGTTAGGGTTAGTGTCATGGGGTGTGTGTGGGTTAAGATTGTAGAATTCGGGTTAGGGTGTTCGGGTAGGGGCTAGGGGTACCCCCATAGGGTTAAGGGGGTCGGGTTAGAATAAGGGTCAGGATTAGGCGGTTACGGTTCGGGTTCAGGCGTTAGGGGATTATGGGGGTTAGGGTCAGGATGGTAGGATTAGGGTTCGGGGTGTGTCTAAGGTCAGGGTTAGGGGGTTAGGGTTAGGGTGTTAGTGTTCGGGTTAAGGAGATAGGGGGGTCTGGTTAGGGTAGTAGGGTTAGGTTTAGGGTTAGGGTGAGGGTTATAGGGGGTGAGGGGTTAGGGTTAGGGGTTCGGGGTCAGCGCTTGGGGGTTAGGGGTCAGCGGTTAGAGGTTAGAGTTTAGGGTTAGGGCTAGGTTCAGGGTCAGGTTGTTTTCCCCGTGACTCCTGTGGAGGGAGGGGGGTTGTGAGCCTCTGGAGGGAGGGGAGTTGTGAGCCTCTGGGCTCTGGGGGACAAGCTCTCGGGGCGCCTCAGGTTTCCACCGAAGCGAGAACAGGAGAACGCGAAACGCTTCGTAGCCCCCCCCCCCGCAAATGCTCCTCCCTATCGTGCGTGTACGCTGCAAATAAGGCGGCGCCCCGCGGCAGCCGCTTCAGTCTGCTGCAGCCCAGCCGCGCCCGCCGCGGCTCCAGGACGCGCTCCAGCCATGGCGCGTGGACGCCCGACTGTCGCCCTGGCAGCCGTGGTGGCGTCCGCCTGGACCCCCCCCGGGATGGAGCTTGCAACGCCACCGCGACTTGCGTTCTCTGTCCTCCTCCGCTCCGCGTCCGTGTCACCGTCCTCCACTCTTCCCTCTTTTCCCGTTTCCTCGGGCCTGAGGCTGATGGACTGCAGCCCAGCTCAGGCCGGTCATGGTATAACAGCAGGCGAGAAGCCAGGGCCATCAGGGAACATTGACGCAAGCATCCGGAGCTTCAGGACACGTTCGGGGACTACTGGAACTATCAAACACAAGGTGAGCGTCGCAACAAAAATTGGGTGGTCTGTTTCGACACTGGCGCGTAAGCTGCCCACGTAAAGCCGCGCGTAAGCGCCCTCGCTTCCAGCCTAGTGTGCCGCCGTGGCGGCCCGCGGAAGCCACCGCAGAAGGTCGCCATGGCACCTCGCGTAAGACCTGCTTTTGATCCTCGCTCCCGTGGCAGTTCCGAATCTGTCGATGCTTCGCACGGGGTGCTCTCCCTGCAGGATCTCCGCCCAGCTCGCTGCCTCGCCCGCGCTCGGCTTCGCCACCCCCGTGGCGGCGAGATCCCGGCTGCCGGCGCCGGCCGCGCCGGCGTCCGGGGGAGGAGGGGAAGGCGACGAGCAGAGGGAGGGCGGGCAGAGGAGGAGAAGGAGGACGAGGAGGAGAAGGAGGACGAGGAGGAGAAGGAGGACGAGGACGGGGAGGAGGACGAGGACTAGGAGAAGGAGGACGAGGAGGAGGAGGAGGAGGAGGAGGAGGAGGACGGGGACTAGGAGAAGGAGGGAGGAGGAGGACGGGGAGGAGGACGAGGACTAGGAGAAGGAGGACGAGGAGGAGGACGGGGAGGAGGAGGAGGAGGAGGACGAGGAGGAGGACGAGGACGAGGAGGGTCTGGCCCTCCCACGTGGGGTCGGAGGTAGGGGTCGGAGGACCGCGCCGCATGGTCGATGAACTCGGCGGCGCGGCTTGATGTGGAGCCCGATCTTCTCCACGCGGACGTCGCCGCTGCATCGCAGACGTCGCCGATGCATCGGCAATGCATCGCCGCTGCATGGGCGACGTATCGGCGGTTCGACGCGATCCTCCGACCCCATCTGCTCGGACCCCCTTCTGGAAGGCCTCTATAGAGGAGGCAAATGAGGGGGGCGATGAAGGAGTTCTTGGTTCAGGCGGGGGTAGAGGGTGTAATCGTGTGAGCCTGTGGTTGGTGAGGGCGTTGGTTCACGAGTGTGCCCAGGAGGCTTCGGTCCCTGGAGGATTCCTTATCTCATGAGGACGGCGGTGATTTCCATGGCCAAGCTTTAACTGGAGCTCCTCCGGCATCCAGAAGCTGGATTCCTGATCTAAGGTTATGATGTTCCAACCTACTTTTAGCCTCGATCACCAGAAAGAATTTCGAACACCAGATAAAACACCGAAACTCGAGGGTTTTCACGTGTCGGGCCCTGGGAGACACTCGCCCGACACTGCTTCGACGCTCCTCCGACACTATTTCAGCAATTTTCCGGGTGCGCGAACTTAGTTCAGGGATGCGGCCCTCAAGCAGGATGGGATCAGCATAGCTCCAAGGGCTTCTTACCCCACGCCTCCGCCGTAGGGCCCGCGGGCCGCGAGCTTTCCACAGAGGGCGACCAAACCAGGAGCGGCCACCACAGAGGGGCGCGTGGCGAGCGCCTGCGACGCGCGCGAGCGGGCGACGCGCGCAGCGCCGCGTGGAACAGAGCGAGGGAGACAGAGGATGGGCAGAGCTCAGGAGGGGGACAAAAACACACAGACACAATTAATCGTCGATTCACCAGACAATATACGAAAATATGGGAAGTGGTGGGGAGGACAGGAACCCAAAAAATATGAGAAAATATGGGGAATATTTTTATTTGTGTGTGTATTTATTTGTGTGTTCCTGGGCCCCTTCAAAAGCGAGAGGGATATATCCTGGAGGAGCAGCAGGAGTCCCTGACCCCCTCGGGTCGTGACAAAAATCACGACGGGAGGTTTTTTTAGGGGGCCACATGCGAACCCTACCCCTATAGACCCCCCACGATTTCTGAGGGGGAGGGTGGGGTTCACTTCGCTCGGGAGCTCCCGAACGAAGTGAACCCCACCCTCCCCCTCAAGAATCGTGGGGGGTCTATAGGGGTAGGGTTCGCATGTGGCCCCCTGTTTTTCGCCATTTTCGGCCCCTGGGGGCCCTTGCCGGGCCTCGGGACCGTCAGAAAAGGGCTCGGGATGAGAAACCGGTCCCGGGGAAGGGGTCCGGACCTTTGGGGGCCGCGGCATGAAAAATTCATGACGTCGGTGGTCTGGGGTGTGAGCAGGATTTGGAGTAAGATGATGGCCCGAGGCGGGAATTCATCCATGACCACCGCCTGGGGGGTCGATCTTCGCGGACCTCCACATGTCCGCGGGGGCCCGGGGGCCCGAAAATATCCAGATCCACCGCCCGCTGGGGCACCAGGACGTCGGTTCCCGGGCGGTGGATATGGATAAATTCCCGCCTCGCAGATCAGGAGGATGAAAACGACCAGGAGATTCAAGGGGGGGCTATAAGATTCAGGACGACGACGAAATGATGGCGACGAGGCGGAGTGTCACAGGGTGGGGACGACAAGGTCGAGGAAGTTCTGGCCGCTTCCCTGGCAGTGCTGGCCTCTTCCATGTGGTTGGTTTTGATGGTCCCGTGTCTCGAAAACGGCCCCTGGGAATCGAAAGCGGCGAACGCACGAGTCGATTGTTTATGCCGCTGGAGGTCTGGGGAGGGCGCGCGTGGGGGTCCGAACCCCTGGTGTCAGGCGCGGGGCCCCGCGCACGGCAGTGGAGCTGCCGCCGCTGGTGGCTCCTCGGCCGGCGCAGCGGCCGCAGGCCGGGGACCCCTTCGAAGAGTTCGCAGGTCCTCGCCCTCCCCCCTCCGGTGTCCGAGCTCAGGTGGTCTAGGCCTCCTAGTTGGGGTCCGAGTAGATGGGGTCGGAGGACCTCGTCGCATCGCCGATGCATCGTCGAGCGACGACGGCGATGCGTTGACGACGTCGGTGCGAAGCAAATCGGGCCCCACATCGAGCCGCATCGGCGACGCATCGGCGATGCGGCGCGATCCTCCGACCCCATCTACTCCGACCACGTCTGGGAGGCCTAGAGGTAGTTGTTCGAGTAACGGCAGAAGCGGTATGATCATAAAGCTTCGGTTGTCCGAGGGGAGTCCTGGCATCGCCACCCCTGGCTGCGGCGCGCAGGTCGAGTCAGCGCCAACCCAAATCCGCGCGGACTTCTGGAAGTTGATGCCAATGTTGTCTTCGGGTATTTGGCTTCCCACCCCCTGACAGGGACGTAGTTC